ATTGGGTCCATCAGTGTAACACTTTAACCATATTTAGTATTTTATTAATGGCAATGGACCAGTCCAAAATCCATCTGATCTCAATGGACCAGTCAATTTGCCAACCCTGTTACGCACTACATATGTACTAATTTTTATTTCATTACAACACGAAGACTATCACGAATTATTTAGTAGCGAAGACCCCAATAAACAGCAGGATCAATTCAAGAAAGAATTATGCGAAAAGAATTGGATCTCGAAAGTTCATTTTTGTGATAGTGGATTGCATTCGGTAACATCTACATAAAGTTAACAGCTTCTATTTTAAAATATTTCCATTGTTAAATTACTATGATATAACAAATAAACTGGGCCAAAACTTTTGAGTTTATTAATGCACGCAATATATTTTATATGACAATGTTATTTTGTTAACTAACAAACTGAGCCCCATAATTCTGCGTTTTCATTGTTAATTCGGACTTAAATTTTGGTATCTGTTCATTACTAAATATTATGAAACAATAAAATTTTCAGAATTATTGCATAATATCGTTATCGTAAAATGTACAATATTTGTGTAGTATTCATTAATAAAAGACCTTTATCAAATTTATCAAACTTTTTCTTTCTTGATCTCTCCAGTGTTGTATCGGTTTTCATTTCATCGGGTGGGTCACTTTTGGGAGTTGTAGAAGTAACAAATGTTTCATCATAAAACTCAAATGATAGATTTTCGACATGACAGTAATCCTCTGGAGATGATTAAATAATGTCATAAATAAGACTTACCTTAATATCCCATGCCCAAGAAAGAGCAAGACGTAAGTTGCCGTAAGATGAATAAGACAGGGGTAGATTGAATGATTTTAAGTGAAGAAGTCGATATACGTCACGTTTTTCCATCATATATATGTATACTAAATTTATTATTTTACAAATAAAGAAAATTAATTATTTCTCCTTGATTTTTTACTTTCCCAGTTCCAATATGCTTTTAAGAAATCAAAATCTTCAATTTTTGGACCATTTAATAAAATCATTAAGTGGTCATCTAATGTATTTAAATGCATTTTAATTAATTTCATTTGGGAAAATATTCTTTCCGCATGAGCATTGGAAAGAGGTATAAGACTTGGGATCAACAGTTTTTCTATATCTTGATCATCAGACAAATCAATGATTTCAACTTCCATTGGAATATTTGGAATTTCACTAGAAAAATTGATTAATTGCTGGTTTGACATTTTAATAATTTATTCCTGGATTTTTTAAATAAATGATATTAATTTTTATTGTCACTCAATACATTTTTTTAAATTGATATATGTCAATCACCCAGTTTTTATTAGTGAGTTTCTATCATTGATAGAGAGACCACGAATTAATTATTAAAAACCCTAAATCTTTATACTTTTCTAATATTTTTATTTCATCACCTTGTACTAAAATATCATTCTTATAATGCTTATCAAATCCTATTATTAAAGGTTTGGGTCCTCTCCAGTTCTTCATTAGAATATCAAAAAAATAGTCACTAACATTATAAAGTCTATTATTTAAAGTTATTGACTTTAAGTTTTTTGGTAATGCTTCATTTAACACTAATAATATTTTTTTGCAATCTATTTTAGCAGAATAATAATAATTATTAAATATAATACTTTTTAATTTAATACAATTATTGAGTACTTTCATTAATTCCTGGTCTAATTCATCATTATATGGTATAGATAAATTTTCTAAATTTTTGCAAGATTGTGCAATTAATTGAAATAGCTTTCTCAAAAATTCATCATTATAATTAGGTCCTAATTCTAAAGTTTTCAAATTTTTAAAAGTTGGTAATAATAAATCTCTAAAATTTTCAATATGACCATTATATTTGTAAAAAATTATTGATTGTGAATGTTTTAATATTGCATTTATTAAATTTTTTAATTCATCTGATGGAATTTGTTCTATTGGTGATGTAATTGGTGATGTAATAAATAAATATTTAATTTGCTTTTGTGCTTTAATTAGCTGTACTAAATTATATATATTGTCACTACTACCATGATATATTGTTAATGATTGAATACCTTTGCAAATATTTGCTAATTTATCAAAAAATTCACCACTATCAAAACTACTACAATTTATTTCATAAAGATTCTGAAAACAATTATCAAATCTATGATGATTAATTAATGAATTCAAATCTACATAATAAGTATGAAACTTTCTAATACCTGCTGAATGATCTAAAATAAAGTTTACTAATTTATTTTCTAAAATTTGTAGATTTAATTCTCCCCTTTTTAGCAGGTATTGAAAATCATAATAAAGTATAGTACAAAATCTGGCATAATTGTATAATGGTGGCCTCTCCAATAGTTCAAATGTTAATTTAATGCAATTTCTAGTTAAGAAATCCTTATCTTCTTCCAATATGCAATTAATTAATATTTTGATACTGCCTTTATAAACCAATGGATTCTTCCATAAAGTTGGAATATTTATATTGTGCCATTGTTTATTGACAAGAACACAAGAATATAATGTTTTGTAATCATCTTCAATATATTTGGGTATTTCAGTCAGAAGTTCAAGTGGCAAACTCATTTTTTTAAAAACAATTTGTTTGTTGCACAATGTAAATGAAAAAAAAATTAAATTTATTTCCAACCAATTAAAAATAATTTTATTTTGGAGAATAAAAGGACAGATTTGTCAGACTGATGACTAACTAGTTAATAGTTTAATCAATCAAATAATATAGTAAATCTATGCAACTATTTAATTAGAAGAATTATTTACATTAAATTGAGGTAATTATTTATTTATATGGTTAAATATTGGAAAATGTTACATTCAAAACCAAAGATAATCATGTATTTTACAATAATAAGAAAATATTAATTAGTAAACATCAAAAATATATTTTACATTTGACAGACATTAAATAAATGCTATTGTTAGCCAACTGTTTTTTACTGTCCAGTTGATGCTTGTCATAAATCACAATAAATAGTAAATGACCATCAGATGTCATTCATCATATTACACAATATGAAAAAATAATAATAAAGTATGACAAAGAAATAAATAATAATAATATAACTACATAAAATTTCAATCTTCCAAAGTATTGATAACATTTATCAAATGATTTTTTTATCATTAATTATTAAAAACCCTAAATCTTTATACTTTTCTAATATTTTTCTTCCATTGCTTAGTACTAAAATATCATTCTTATGATGCTTATCAAATCCTATTATTAAAGGTCTGGGTCCTCTCCAATTCTTCATTAGAATATCAAAAAAATAGTTACTAACATTATAAAGTCTACGATTAAAAGTTATTGACTTTAAGTTTTTTGGTAATGTTTCATTTAATACTAATAATATTTTGCTGCAATCTATTTTAGCAGAATAATAATTATTAAGTCTAATACTTTTTAATTTAATACAATTATTGAGTACTTTTTTTATTAATCTCTGGTCTAATTCATCCATATATGCCATAGATAAATTTTCTAAATTTTCTAAATTTTTGCAAGATTGTGCAATTAATCGAAATAGCTTTCTTGAAAAATCATCATCATAACGAGGTGCTAATTCTAAAGTTTTTAAATTTTTAAATGTTGGTAATAATAAATCACTAAAATTACCTCCATAACCATGACATCCATAAAAAATTATTGATTGTGAATGTTTTAATATTGCTTTTTTTAATTCACCTGATGGAATTAGTACCATTGTTGATTTGATAACTAAATATTTAATTTGCTTTTGTGCTTTAATTATCTGTGATAAATTATTTATATTTTCGTCATTGCTATAACAACATACTGTTAATGATTGAATATTTTTACAAATATTTGCTAATTTATCAAAAAGTTTACCACAATAAAAATGATAATAATAATCTATTTCATAAAGATTCCGAAAACAATCATCAAATCTATGGTGATTAATTAATAATTTACAATCTATAGAATGAGCCCTAAGTTTTCTAATACCTTTTGAATGATCTAAAATAAAATTTACTAATTTATTTTGTAAAATTTGTGCTCTATTTTTTACCAGGCGTTGAAAATGATAATACTCAAAAAATATTGTGCAAAATCTGGCATAATTGTATAATGGTGGTTTTTCCAATAGCTCAAAAGTTAATTTAATGCAATTTCTAGTTAAGAAATCCTTATCTTCTTCCAATATGCAATTAATTAATATTTTGATGCTGTCTTCACAAAAAAATGGATTTCTCCATAAAGTTGGAATATTGATGTAGTGCCATTGTTTATTGACAATAGTACAAGAATATAATGTTTTGTAATCATCTTCAATATATTTGAAAATTTCAATTAAAAGTTCAGGTAATAGTAACAAATTCATTTTTTTAAAAACGATTTGTTTGTTGCACAATGTAAATGAAAAAAAAAATTTAAATTATTTAATTTTGAATGATTCAATTCAAACCATCAATGATTTTGAACAATTCAAACAAACCATGAATGATTTGAACAATTCAAACCATTCAAACCATCAGCAATTTGAACAATTTGAATCATTAACAATTTAAACAATTTGAACCAATAATTTGATTCAAACCAATTATACAAATTTAAATTTAAAATTTCAATGCATTTTTTTTATTTAAATTCGTAATAAAAATTTAACTTGAGAATTATTTTGTGAAAGGTTACATATAGAGTTATTATGTTTAAACATTTTCTCTTTTGATTATCGGAACAAACTTTTACATTTAATAAATTCATCATTTTCGCCTATTAAATTATAATAATCTCTAGCTTTCCACATTATAGTTGATTGTGAGTTTTCTTTGCATCTTTTTTTTTGTAGCTGGTTAAATCGGAAGAAATTGTATAAATAAAATATTGAGATTCACTGTGAGATGTGGATTTGATCTCACAATACTTATTAAAACAATGAAGTTTGTATTAAAAATCAAATGACTGACATTACATTAAGAAAAATTGAATTAATCATGTTTATTAATATTTGCAGATATTTTTTTGCAAAATGACATAATTTTTACAGATAACTACATGATTTATTGTCATACTTTATTATAACATTATATTTATTATTTCAATCTTCCAGAGCATTGATAACATTCATCGAATGATTTTATTACTAATTATTAAAAACCCTAAACTTTTATACTTTTCTAATATTTGTCTTCCATCATTTTCTAGCAAAATTTCACGCTTATCATACTTATCAAATCCTATTACTAAAGGTTTAGGTCCTCTCCAATTATTCATTAGAATATCTAAAGAATAGTTGCTAATGTTATAAATTTTACAAGTAAAAGTTATTGACCTTAAGTTTTTTGGTAATGTTTCATTTAATATTGATATTATTTTATCAAAATCTATTTTATCAGAAAAAAAATTATCAGATCTAATACTTTTTAATTTAATACAATTATTGAGTACTTCCATTAATTCCTGGTCTAATTCATCTGTATACATTATAGATAAATTTTCTAAATTTTTGCAAGATTGCACAATTGATTGAAACAGCTTTCTCAAAAATCCATCATTATAACCATCAACAACCAGATTTTTAAGATTTTTTCCATTGATATTAATAAAATCAGACAAGTCTGATAGAAATGGTTGAGAAGTAATACATAACTCCATAGATTCAATATTTGGTAGTGAAATATTTTTCAAACTTATTTTTCTAGTAACATAAGTTGTTAATTCTAAAGTTTTCAAATTTTTAAAAGTTGGTAAAAATAAATTATTAAAATTATCTTTACAGTCACGAGATTCATAAAAAATTATTGATTGTGAATGTGTTAGGATTGCATTTTTTAATTCATCTGATAATGTTGTTGATTTAATGACTAAATATTTAATTTGCTCTTGTGCTTTAATTAACTTT